AGCCGCGGGGCCCCTTGAAACGCGGCCCTCGGTGCCGCCGCCCGTCGCGGGGAAACGTTTCTAGGAGCTCCCGGCTCCGTTTTGCCCCGGTCTGGCGTTGACCCTTGTCGTCCTCGCAGGAGGAGGCGGCGGGAATCGCGCTGAGCATCCTGGCTTCTTTTAAAAGCAGTGAGATAGAACAGGCCGTGAGCTCGTTAGACAGGAACGACGTCGACGCGTTGATGAAGTACATTTACGAAGGGTTTGAGAAGCCGGCGGAGAACAGCAGCGCGATCCTGCTGCAGTGGCACGAGAAGGTGAGCGCCCCGCGGCGCCGCGTCCTGCCCGCCGCGGTGGGATCCGCGCGGGGACACGCGGTGCTGGCGGCTCCTCCGGCCTCCCCTCTCAGCGCTGGCGTTCGTTGAGCCTTGGCCTGCTTTTCCAAGGCCGCCCTCAGCGCGGAGCGGAGGGGAGCGCCGTGAGCTCCCGTGGCGCAGGAGGGCCTGGCCATACACGTGCGGCTGAGCCCCGGGGCTGGCGGAGCCTCTTGCTAATGGAGCAGGTAGTCCTCGGGGTGCAGAGGTTGGGCAGAGCTCCGTGCTGTTGGCAGCAGCCGTGTCCAGAACGGTTCAGTTTACACAACAAAGGCCTCCCTGCAGGCCAGGGCCACAGGGGCCACGCACTTTGTGCAGCAGCTCTTGCACGTTACCGTTCTCTTTATCCTGCAGCGAGGCCTGGGACACCAGTGCTGGGTCCTGCTTCCTGCCAGGTGACAACAGTGTGAAGTGCCCAAGCTCTTCCCCCCTGCCTGGGCTTCCAGTGCCGCACGGGCAGCTGTTCGGCGCTGTGTCATTGCAAAGCTGCTCTTTCTCAGCTATGGAAAGACAGAAACTGTGTTTCTAGAGTAGTGATTCCAGCTCTTGGGAGGTGTCACTTGTTTTGCAGAATGTTTAGCAGGGGAGGAGAAAACATGTTCTCAGGACAGCAAGGAACAGGTTTCTGCTCGGTTTCTCTTGCCTGTTTCCCATGGAGACTTTTCCGGTGTACTGCGGAGCACCAGCCCGGTTACGAAATCCCTGCCTGTTGTGCCCTGACCGGAAGAGCAAAAAAAAACCCCGCGGCGCCCCCCCCGAGCCGCGCGGCTTTGGTGAAGCAGGCCGGCTGCTGCCGCCTTGTGCTCGGGAGGAAAGGCCACCCGCTCAGCCCGTGCTTCGATGGCAGCGTCCGCGTGCCCGAGAGGGACGCGCTGGCGCCGCCGGCTCGAGCAGGGTGCTAAGGCAGGGCCCTTCGCAGGCCCCGCGCACGGCCCCGGCCTGCCCGCGCGTCTGTGCAGGGCAGGGAGGCAGGTGCTTCTCGGGAGCGCATGAGGACGTAGGAACAAGCAGGGATCCGAATTCGGTGTGAACTCAAGCACCCTTTATGGTTGTCAGCCCAAGTCAGCTAGAGAACACGCAGCAAGAAGGAACTGCCATGTGAGCGCAGGCTCTGTCACCACAGACAGCTGAAGGCAGCAGCGTTGGGGTGGAGCAGATTGTCCATTCTAGTTCCTGTTCTGTTGCTAGCAGTCAGCACAGGAAAAATGCTTTGTGGTCTTGGCTTGGTGGACGTTAGTCAATACCTACTAATGCTTTACGTGATGGAGCAGCTGCACCAAGAGAATAACCGACTCCTCGCAGGCTCGTGAGAGTCTAATCATGGAAACCTGACCCTGCAAGACAGGGTTGGTTTAGTGCCTAAATTGAAGCTGTTTAAAATGTCTTAAACACCAGCATGCACGCGAGAAAATAATAGACTTTTCCTAATGAACTCTTCTCAAGATATGACAGCAAAAAAAAAAAAAAAGGGAGAGTAGAATAAGAAGAAAAGCCCAAGATGCCTATACACAACAAACAAGCTTTTTGGAGAAGAACCATAAATTTCTTCTCCATTACTAAGCCCCAAACTGTTTGTTCTTCTAAGATGCCTTTTGAGTGCACTGCCATGACTGTGTGTAACACCCCTCTCCTTTTGTCATCCCTGCAGGTATTAGCAGTAGGTGGACTAGGTTCCATAGTAAGAGTTCTTACTGCAAGAAAGACCGTTTAAAATGCTATTAACCTGAACCAAGATGACGATCAATTTTGGACCCAGAAGGAGGAATTAGCTGGAGTGACACTGGTCTGTGGGTGGAGAGATTGCCAGCTGCTGAAATACTGTGGCCACCTCTTCTTGGACTGCTTTTAGCTATGAAGTGGGGAAGAGCAAACGTCACTGCTGTATGGTCTGAGTATCGATGACAGGAACCAAGACATTTACCCTGATCCCCTCTTCTTTAAAAGGCAGAGAAAAGGCAAACTCCTGCCACCTAGTCCTGTAAGTGAAGAGGTCCTTTCAGATGCTGCTTTATCGAAGTGCGGTGATACGAGAGCCTGTGTGTGCTGCTGATTTAAGAGGTAGCCGTGTCTTTGGCTGATGCAAGATTCTGACTGTGTGAAGTGGGAGAAGCGCCAAGGAGGAGGATACGGGGCATGTGGTCAAAGACCTAGCTGGAGGGTGGGCTTGGTTTCATTGTAAAGTGCCTGCTGCATTAATAAAATTCTTGATCACCTGAGTTAAGTAATTTATTTTTAGCTAAACTAAGTCCGCCGTTGATTCAAAAGCAGACCAGCACTCTACCACTTCTAAGTTAAGAGCCCACCTCTGCCAGAGTGCTCTTCAGCTCCTTACAGGAGTCATCCTCAAATGTAAATGTGCTGTCTCTAGGAAACAAAATCAAGTGCTACTGCACACTGTGCCGTAGAAGCCTTTGATATAGTGCAGAATTATTCATGATTTTATTTTATGCTCTTGTTCATGCTAGGAAGTCAAGAAAATACTTCAAAACTTACTAACCTCTTTATGTATTAATTTATCCTCATCTCTAAAGGTCTAGTTGGCAGCATAATAAGCAGCTTGCTGTGAAGGAGCGCAGGGGCTCTCCCTGATTTGCCTAGACAGAGGCACACAAGTACCCAAGTCCTCATGGTTTCCAGCTCAAGTTACAGCACCTCGCGCGAGGCTTCGCTCCTGCAGCCTCCCCGCGGAGGCTCCTTTTGTGCTGGGCAGATGGAGTCTGACAGGGCAGCGGCTGGAAAGGGACTGGGCCTGGCGCCACAGGCAGCGCTGTGCCGGGAGCGGCGGGCAGGGGAGGCTCCCTTACACTCCCTGCTTGTTTGGATCAGCTGCTGAAAGCGCACTAACAACTGGCCCTGGTGAGAGGTGACTGGAGGAGAGCTTTAATGAGCTGGCTGACACACCCATTCTTACCCCAGACAGGAAGAGGGGGTTTGTTTCACTCCTTAAAATTCTCTCAATTTAAAATAGCTATAGCATCCCAGTGGAGATAACCAGAACTATTAAAGAGAAAGAAATCAAGATTAGCATTTTAATCAAAAATGTATTGCACCACAAATTTCATAGTGTTTCATAATACAATCCATATTTACAGCATAGAAGGAAAGAAATCCAATGGCCATAGAAAGGATTATGTATATCATTGTTTTATACAAGGAAAAAGTGCATTAGCGTTTTAGTATATGTATACACACCATTCTTGCTCTGATAAAGAAAATTCAACACTTACTTAACTAATTTATGGTAAGTTGATCCTGTAAGAACTTTGTGCTCTTACTTTGAAACTGTGTTAGTATATAAATATTCTGAGATTTATGTATTACTGTTTCTTCTAGGTCCCCTCTACTGCTTTCCTTACTGTTCAGCAGTAACCTTTCAAACCAGGATCAACTTAACCTCATTAGTCATTGAGCAGCATCAGCAAGAGCAGATGAAATCCTGTCCCTCGGTCTCGGGCCCCGCAGAGGTAGGGCAGGGCCACGGGGATGTTCCAAAGAAAAGGATGGGCACAAAGTCTGGGCCCTTCCAGAACGCACAGGGTCATCCTGCCCGCTCGGGTTCGGTATAGGAGCACTTTGTGCAAATCCACTTTTGATTGTCTGGTTGCACGTTAAATCAGGGTTCCCACACCCCTCCTATTCTATGCAATTAAGTGCTGTGAATCAAGTCACTAAAGACTGTCTAAGAAGCTTCAGCATGCTGAAAAGTCCTGTCCTTTCTTCCCTTCCATTTAAATAAATACAGCCTGGTTACAAACTGAGGAGTGTCACTTTTGTTACAGTAATAACTGCTCTGAGCATCTGTGCCTGGCTGCTTCCTGCAACGGGAGGTGAGCTCCGCTGCGGCCCGGGCCCTGCGGGTCTGTGCGGCGCGGCCGCGCGCACGCTGCCCAGCACCGCGGCTCTGCCGCCACCGACCGCCTTCCTTCCCACCTCGGCGGGCAAAGCTAGGTTAAAACCATCAACAGGGACTGTATCTCCACTGGAGCACAGCCTGAGTTCAGGATTTTGAATAAAAATGTTTCCAGAGAATTACCAGAACTGGAGTCTTCTCACTGAATGCCATGCATTGGTTTGTTGTTTGTTTTTTGAAAATACATTTTTAAGAAGTCAGAATGGCTGCTGCTTCCCATTTTCATCTATTTTTATGGTTAGTTCCTAAGGGCAAAATTCTGCTCATAGTCCTTGAGGACAGTCCCAGCTTGGTCCTCTTTTCCTAAGGTAAAAGCAAGCAGGCTACTGGAGCCAAGATCCATTGAATAACAGTTCAATTTTGCTCTCACGAAAACCAGCCAAACAAGATCTCATAGGCAGTGTTCCTTTTACCCTGTAGTTAGGACACAGTTAATATTAATAACCCACTACAAGTCCCCAACAGCTCTTTTAAGTATCAGTATCTGAAGTACATAAAACCACAACTAAAGATGCAGGTACTGGTCATGAAAATCTGTTGCTAGCAAAACTTGCACAGGAAAGAAAAGTGTTTAGTACCAATATTCTTCACCCTTTGTTACTAGAGATTTTTTTTTTTAAATAAAAAGGTATTTTCAGTGTGCATTTACAACACGAAATTCAGCTTTAAAAATTTAAAACAGCTAACTATCCCTCTTCCCCATGTTAACAACCTATGATACAGGCTAGTAGATTAAGTTTTAAAGGCGACTGAGTATTAGGTACTATAATTAAGACCATTTTAAATATTTTTCTTTAAGAAAAGTAAAATCAGACAACTCTAAAGTTGTGCTCTCAAATTAAATAATCATCATCAACATGCAGCCTTCGGGACTGCAGGCCAGGATATATGCACCTTAAATTACACAGTGATATGAAAAAAATGCAAACTACTAGTTATGTCAGTATAACAAGGCAGATTTTTTTTTTTTGGTTAAAGTTCCTGCTCCTGTTCTTTGAAAGGCTTTTCAAACCGTCAGAAACTGAATACAGTCCTTTTCATTGCTTACTTTCCACCGCGAGACAAGGAAGCTTTACTGTACCAAGAGTTACTCGACTCTGGCGTTTCATAACAGAAGTTGGAATCACCATAACAGATGCAAATGTTAGAAGCTTGAACTGCCAGCACCAGTGTTAGTGAGGTCAACATTACCCTTTGGTGCCAAGAAACAAACCGATGGGCACAAGGAGCTGACTTCATTATGGGACCATCGAGACGACAGTCCCCAGATCCAACCCAGGAGAGGGGTTTCGGTCTGTGGTGAAAATTCTCCTTGCACAGTATTACCTTTGTAAACAGTATCAAAGTTCTTGTACAAAATACTGCAATGACAGTGATTAAGACACACCTGAATTAGGGTGTTGAGTGTTCTTTTCACAGAAAATAAGCGGCTAGATGCTGACTGCCAGTTTTCAGATTCCCTTAAGACCATGGTGTCCTTGGGCTCGAGATAGATGGCCGGATACTGCCTCTAGGAGATGGCTTTGATCCAAACCACGACATCTGGGATAGGAAATCACAACATACATTAGGGTAATTTCCCACTTTTAGAGCAGCTGAACATTTGAAGAAGGATTACACATGCATCTCCCCATCACTTGATGGAAACTATTCATAAAACATACAACACTGCATAATGTAGACTAAAAAAGACTAAGGAACTGAACAGTTTCACCCAAATCTGAAAGAAACAGGATCCTGCTTCTGTAAGTGAAGAACACTGAAGATAACATTTATGAATATTCCTTCAAAATAATTAGTCCTTTAATCAAAGTACCTGTAGCCAATTTAATATGAAAGGTTTCTGAGCAAGACGGCAAGGAATTTTCCTTCTCTCTCACTCCTGTATACTGAACATGTTTAACTTACTGAGTTGAAGCAGCACTCACTGATAAACACACACCAATAACCACCTATCCGGGGGCATATGAAACATCTTGTTTTATGCAACGGAAAGTAGAAACAGATCACATGTCTTAAGTCCAATATCAAACCACAAAACCAAGAATCTTGTGTCTTACTCTTAAATACAGACTGTCCTGAAACAAGCTTCCAGCTACACACTCAGACCCGAGTCCACTAGGCAATAGCATGCTGCTTTTCTGAAAAGCAGCACTAGAAAATTACACTATTTACCTTATTGAAATAGACAATTTCCAACATGCATATATGTTATCAGGACACACCTGAATATTAAATGTTATTGTGGCTAAAGTTTGGGGAAAAAAATACTTTCCACGATTTTCCAGCATCTAAGAACTTTTGTTCTTTTTGCTTTGAGTTTTACAAGTAGAACAGAATCCTTACCTTGTATTCCAAGGTTTCTTTAAGCATATTTTCTTCCTCTTGGGAAAAATTCAGTAACACAGATACAGCTTTAATTAGATGGAATGCCTGAAAGAAACCACAGGAGTTGGCTGGTTAAGGAGTTGGCTGCTCTCGGTCTCTATTCTGGGTTATGGTGCAAACACAGATTTTCTGTAGTTTTAGTCACAGGCTTTTTAGTCACACTGTGAAGAGCAGAGCAGGAGCCTTCCCAGTTCCAATAGATAGGACAGCCTGCATGCTATTTCTTCTGCATGTGTTAACAGGCTCTGTGTTCTTTAACAGCGGTTTGTATACTTCAAGGGAAATCAAACTAGGCAGTCTAGTTTATTAGAACAGAGAAGTTTATTCCTGTAAACTTATAACTACCTTTTAAAAAATTATGATTCTCTTTCATTTAATTCATAATAATCTGTATTTCTAAACATACAGTGTCAGCTGTTTTGTTTCACTTTCCTGAAATCAACTTCTTTCTAATTGCAGAAATCAAAC